AATATTTAATTTATTATTATCTGTAGTGAAAATATTTTGTAATAATACTCATGTTTTAAATTTTTTCCAAATACTTTTCTTCAAACAATATTTAATATTACAACACTTTATGCGCTAAAATTGTTTAACTTGTCAGTCTTCAAATTTTACTCACCGAAAGAAATCCATCAGCATTGGATTCCGACTTCCAACTTTTTTTGCCGTTCATACTAAAATGATAACCCATTCGCTGCTCGCATCTGTTGTAATTCTTCGTTTTTGTGATTTCGAGATAACCGTCATTGTTAAGATTTGGTAAAGGTGCCAGTTCTGGTCTGTTGAAAAGTACATCCTCGGGTAATGGCGTAATATCATAGTGAACCTCGCATTTACCACCAACAGAATCCTCCATCGTCTTAAATATTGCGAAGGGCTGCTCATCCTCGAATATCTGATTACTCTTGTTTGTTATTGCATTCTCGCCCTCCGTATCAATCTGTAGTTGACTCACAATACTCTTCAATAAATTTAATTCCCAGGTAGCCACAGTCTTATCGACCAACAGGTCTCGAATTACACCATGTTTGATCTTGATCTCAAAAGGCTTTTCGGACAAGGGAAGCTCGACCAATGTCAACATTGGGTCGGGTATCGTGGAATCCCATCTTTCCAACAGTAATTTGTCCACGGAAGCATATTTCGGCTGTGAAACTTTTGCTTGCAGCGTGTCTGGCGATCTCACCTGAACGGTGAGAACACCTTTCATTACAATTCCAGAAAATTCTGGAGCTAAATTGTCGAGAGCCGTCAAAGTACGACTTTGTATAAGAAATTGATATTCGTTTCCCGTTTCCCAAGCATAATTGTTGTCAGCCACGGCCGCTCCAACTACGCAAAAAAGTCATTATCTTTCTAACATGTTTCATTAAATTGATACGTATTCATTATCTTACTCTGAGTAATATTACATTAAATTTATCAATAATAAAATTTTATAAAATATTAAAACAGAAATAAATAGTTCTATTTTACAATAATAAATACATACAAGGGAAAATATTTTTAAATACGCATTAAAAAAATGAGAAAAAACAATAATCGTGAACTTTTGTAGAAGTTATCGCTATTTGTAAATCTCAAATTTACTTACGAATTACGAGAAGAATGAGACGCAGCTTCATAATATTATATGAATATTGAACGCAAAATGACAGCTTGTTCTCTCATCGAACTTGCTTTAATCAGACATGAACTTAATTATATATAGCTTTGATGTGTTATCTCAGCTTGCCCCGACGACATACACTGATTCAGATTCCATGAAATTAAAACTATACTTATCAGTTCTGTGACGCATAACATTTTTTACACGTAATAAATTATATCAGTAATATAATGTATTAAAGTGTGATTGGTATTATGTAGTAATATAGTAATATAATTGAAAAAGTGCAGATAAGATCGTAACATTATAGTTTTATTTTTTATCAAGACATTGATTTTATCCAATGAATTATTTATTGCACTAATTTGCTTAGTAACTGCAATTTTTTAAAGCTGTACTGAATATATTTAATGAATTATTTATTCGATAAATAGGGAAGTTCTTCTTTTTCATTTTCATACTTCAAAATTATTTGTTTTAAACAAACAATTCCATTTTTCTAATTGTGTATTATTTTATAATACTTCGGTTTGCTTTGAATACGAATAAAATATTAAAAAATTATTTATTATTATTCTTAAAAATAAGCACTCTTAGAAAAAGCATAAATAGTTTAAATAGATGCTTGCATCAAAATTTTGTACAAATTTAAATAAATTATATTAAATTATAAATAAATTTATATATTATTTATATATTAAATTATAAATAAATTTATTAATTAAAAATTACCAATTAAATTGCATTTGCTTAAATGATCTAATCCATAATTTTATTTCTAATTTCTTATAATGTTTACGAAAAATTTAAGAAATTTTAGAATTTCTTTAAACTTGAAAAAATAATTGCTACTGTGAATTGTTCTCTTTACTTTGAAAACAGGTGCTTTTTATAAAATCTATCAAAATCTTATATAATTCTAATTTTAACGTTGAGAGAAATGATACTTTTTTATAGTGATCTCACAATTAGTATATCTTACACTTTTACTATTTAATCAAATAGATATAAATGCCACGTATAGATGCCTTGTTCTCGTCTGAATTATTCTTATTAAACTAATTAGTTTTTATTAAGCTAATATTATATTTTTTAAATTCGTTATTGTATAGTTAAGAAAAAAATTTTAATGCAAAAAATGCATTTAATTATATTATTTATTTTAAAGGACGTCTGTCTTATTCGACTACGCGTTGTTTGTAAGAAAGCAAGCCACCAATAATTCTGTTGAAAAAATTTAACTTTATTCTTGCTTAATTATTCTCGGGGCAAGAGTCTGATTGAGAAGCAGATCTCTTGAAAAAATTAATCTTTGTAGACTTTCGTGCGATAGGTAATGTGTCCTTGATTCTTTTTATTCTGATTTCTATTCTGATAATAACCTTACAATTGTTTTTCTAACAACCTTTCCGCTTTTCTGTCGCACTGACAAAAATGTCTTGATTATACCAACAAGACGTAGGTAGAATGCATTTGGTGAAACTAAGCAGAATTTCTGGTTATCATGATAGGACTCGATAATTTATAACTAGAACATGATAGACTTAATTATAAAAATTTGATTAGTATTTTCTAGCTTTTTCCTATATTTAGAGTCTATGCTGTAATCAAATAATGAAAAAAATCTTACTTTATTTATTTACCTTATATCTATTTACCTCACCTGTCATAATGTCCCGCCTTAAGATCCCCTGCACGTATAATCATAATTATATTTCCATCTCGCATGCACAAAGCCATGCAAACATTTGATCTCGAATCTGAACACTAGTCCGTTGATTACATTAGTCTGACGAGGAATAAACGAAATGCAAGGTACGATTTACTTCTTCCTTATTTTTCGCAATTATTTTTTTAGCGTCAGTATTCTCGGCGTCATTATTATTTGTGATGTTTAATAAAAATTTAAGAAATTTTAGAATTTCTTGAAATTTAAAGAAATAATTACTGCTGTGAATTGTTAGCTTTAATTTGGAAGATGCTTCTCATAAATTTTATCAAAATCTTATGTAATTCTAATTTTAATGTTGTGAGAAACGACACTTTTTTATAGCTATTTCACAATATTTTACACGTTTGCTATTTAATCAAATAGATATAAATGCCACGTGTAAATGCTTGTTCTTATCTGAATTATTCAAGCTAAAATCATATTTCTCAAACTCGTTATTGTACAGTTGAGAAGAAATTTTAATGTAAAAAAATGCATTTAATTATTAAAATGATCCATTTTCATTTTTCATTAGTTTGCGTGGACATAAATATATATTGTTTACTGCAAAGGACATCTGTCTTATTCGACTACGCGTTGTTTGGAAAAAAGGAAATCACCAATAATTTTGTTGAAAAAATTCAACTTTATTCTTGCTCAATTATTATTGAAATTACTAAAAGAACATACTTGTAGCTTCTTTAAAAAAAATACATTAAAACAGAGTCGATTAATTGCGCATATTCCATATACATATTAGCCGCGTTAGTTTGAATTAGTATGCCACACAACCAAGGCTAGGAAGTTCGAGGGCCAGCTTCTTGCTGACAGAATTGAGAGACAGATCCGGATTAGCTCCTTGTTGGATTCGCTTCTTCATTTCTTGAGCGGCATCATTTCTCGTCATGCAGTGCATCGCGACATTCTTCCTCTTTATTTCCACAGGCCTGCTATTATGGGGGCATACTGGCAAAGGTCTGACAGAAAAGCAGATCTCATGATCACCTTCATCGATTTTCGTGCGGTAGATAAGGCGGACGTTTTCTTGATTCTTTTGATTCTGATTTCTGTTCTGATGATGACCCCACGATTTTTCTAACTCTCTTCCCATTCCTCTGTCGTTGATCACATTAGTCTGGCGAGGAGTTAACGGAATGCAAGAGGCACGAGATGCTTTGGACTTATTCTCCGCAATCATATTCTTAGCGTTATTATCCTGAGAGTCATTCAATACAGCGAAAGTAGCGCTGAATTCTTCCGGCTTCTGCAGAACACAGTTTTGCGGAGTGAGGAAATCGTTGCTGGTCTGTGTATCGTAATTACCGCAAAGACCTCGTACCATATTGCGATAATCCTGTGTCATCTGAGGATAAATTTGTTACAATATATACATAATTTTTTTAATATTGTATGTCATCAAATATTTTTATTATTGATTGTTGATTTACTCACCTGAAGTTGAACATGTTTTCCGTCATATAAAACAGTGATTCCATGGTTCGGTAAGTCAAGTGTCACTAAACCGTCCGGTTGCATAAATAATTCGGCGATAACTTCTCCGTTCTCTTTGTCTTCATGGCTTTCTTTTTTCGACAGTTTAACTTCTTGTCCATTAATCAGAGCTTGAAGATGATCACCCACTTGTTGCAATTGATATTCTCTGTCATTCAGCAACACACGGACCTGAAGGTGATTATTTTGTTCTCGGGTTAGAACACTCACTTTCTTATTTTCTGACAGTGGCAGCTGTAGATTAGGATGATTAAGAATCTGTAGCTGGTCAGGGATCATCAGTACGTGCCAGATTCCGCCCATGTACACGGGATAGTTCTTATCATCAAAAGTAAGAACCTCATTTGTGCTCACGGTGCACACACCTGCGCAGAAAAATTCAAAAATATTATACTATGCAATTTTCTTAAGTACTTTAGGTTCATTTATAATATATGGAGAATACATGTGATTGTTACACTTTACTTTCTATGACAGTGAGTTATAATGCAGTAAATTGACAAGATTAATAATGATGCAATAAATAATTTTTTTAATTATAATGACAATAGATAGCGACAAAATCATCGCAATTTCTATCTTATTATTTTATTTTTGAATTCATACAGATATGCTATTAATATGTGAAACGAAAATCATTATTAAAATTTAAACGTTTACTATTAAAATTTAAACAATAGCTTACTCTTCGACAATCAATTATATCTTTTTATAAATTTTTCTCGATTTTCTAATTTTTCGAAGAATATTTTTTAGTCGGAAAATTACTCTGTTATGCATCGTAGATTCAATTATTGCTATCATCAAAAATACAAAATCTCTAGAAATTGTTTGACCCACTGTCATATTAAACAATTTTTTAAAATCTGTAACCTTACCGTCTTCTTCTTCCTCATCCTCGAAGTTCTCATTTTCATCTTGCCACAAATCATCATCAGAATCGTGCAGTTGGAACTTAACATTCATTTGCGAAGTTTTTACAATGGCCTCAGCATTTTCTAAATTGGGTGACATTTTTACTTCCATATTGATTTGATTCCGCAAACCAGAATTCCTCGTGTTTGTAAACTCTACGTTTGTCTTGGGTATTATCTCACTAATATAGTTTACAATCATATTAGCGATTTCGTTTTGATCGTCAGAATCCATGTTTATCGACAACTGCAAAAGATTTTTCTTCAATGCCAAATCAATAGCCTTCTGGCACGCTTCCAATCCTTCGCCACGCTGCATCTCAAGCACACATTGTCGAACTGTCTGGGATTTCATTAGCGTTTCCGACAGACTGTCACTTCGCAATAGCCTTCCCTCTACCTGGATTTTTTCTGCTGTTCTATAATTCTGTCCAGCGCGCACATTTATTATGAATTTGTCTTCCGGCATCTGGTGAGCCAGTTTATCGTAACTCAAGAAATTGTCTTGTGATGATTGCAGCATTCCAGTAATCAATGCTTCGTGTACGACTTCTCCTGTTTTAGCATGATGCTGATTCCAATAGACAAGGTATTGCGTCTTTCGTTCCACATTGCTCTCTCCTACGCTGATAGTTATAACTTGACTGTTTTGAAGGAACGGAAGTTCGACAGTTACGTCATATACGTAGGCCTCGACGGAATTCATACCCTTGCTGACTTCCTTCAGGAACTGCTTTCTCCTTGCCGCGCTATTCGGTTTTTTATCGGTTACGTCGAGGACGGAATTGTGCATTAGTCCGTTTTCATTTTCATCGCTATTATTGTTTTCGTCATCGTTTGATTCATCATAAGCGACATTGAGGGTTACGTCGTCGCGTCCATTGTTGCCTGAGTTCGTTCCTTGCAAGTTGAATACCTCAACCTTTCTATAATGGACAGACTCGTCATACAAAGATGACCACCACTGCCAAACGTTTTCTAGACCCAACACTGACTGTGCTTCTACTTCCGAAACAATCTGCATTGTGCCTAAGCGAACAGTGGATTTTTTCAGTTGTTTTACATCGGATATTCGTTGCATATTGCCGCGAGAGACAGGTGAAAGAGTCTGCATGTTAATTTGCGCGATGAAGGGAACAACACTGCGATGCGCCAGTTTAAGCGGCGAACTTTGTTCTTCCGGGTCCACGTGCACGTTCAGCTCGAAATTATAGGAATCCTTTTTGGATTCCATGTTCCAGTTATATTCTACTGGTACATGCACAAACAAATTTCTATCAACACCAGCGACATACTGCTCAGGCACGTGAGATACTACAACACCAAATCTGGTCTGCACCTTTTTGGCGACTACTAAATTGACAATGCCGTTTGTTCCTTTGTTGTTAGGTGTATTGCCTGATGCTCCACGCTTATGGTTCATAGAAACTCTTGTCAATAATGGCATCTCGAGGCTGAAAGTGAACGGCACGCCGCTTTCAGTCGGGAAACTCACTGTCTCGTCATAGCTGTCTATATGGTTAATATGCACGTGTTGGTCCTTTTTCAAATTCTTCTCTACATCTGTAACATAATAATAATAAAAATTTATATCTCTGAAAACAATGCATCTTGAAGTAAAATTCAAAACACTTACGTGATGCCAATTTCTCTATACTTTGTTGGTCGAAAGGATAAAAAGCAGTTCCGAAAATGGTGGCAATCCTGAGGTTTCCTTCCACTTGCTCTACTGTTTTTGGCTGCATACCAATCGAGCGACGAAGACTGTCAAGCCACGCGCTTTCGTGATGTGTTTCTGGTTTTTCGAATATATTGAGAATACGCCTGACGGTCGATACTCCGTATTCCACTTCTAATATAGATTTTGCTATGTTATCGAAATTATTTTGCGCATTTAGATAGACATGCTTCGGCAAACTATTGCTGACACTGCCGATGGTTTGCACGATGGTTGTCTCCGTGAAGATGCCTTGCGAGTTTGTGCTGGAGAATGTCTTAGATGTTAGCAGTCTTCTAGCATGACGCGCTTTTTGAGATAGATGATAAAACTCTGGCTGGTCCCATTTAGATAGACTTATGATGCTGCTCTTGACTGCAGCATTTACTTCGTTACTCTTATCGAAATTGGTGTACTTTGCCATACGTAGCATCGAGACTAAAGGCGGATTCGTTAACATGTAAAGATGAACCGCGGCGCAACGCACCTCATGAGACTCTTCATCGTTCAAGTAGATTTTGTAGAGCACTGGTGCAACAACTGCTGGAGTGCGTCTGACTAAACTGCGCAGTGACGAAACCATCAACGTACGTAGATACGTCGACACATTCTGTCGGCCTTCCAAAAATGGCTCAAAGACTCTCAAGACTTTCGGATGACCGAGGTTACCCAAAGCTACAATATATACCTGCGCTTGCGGATTATCACCATTCTTGAGGCTTTGATGTAATTGTTTTTCCATAAAAGGTATATAATTTTCAGTTACGTCTTTATCACTCTTGGGATTCAGTTTACCGAAATTGTATATTGGATATGCATTTTGGGAATGCCTCTTGTCGACTTGGGCGTTGCGGACTAATTCCGAAAATGCGATGGGTGCGATTTTGCTTACATAATCCTGTTGCTGCACTTTCTGGTTGGCAACTAAATTATTCTGCACAAAGATCAAATTACGTTGAGTGTTAAAGGACAATTTATAATACCGGTTCAAATATTTTTGAAATAAGTAAAAATTAAAATTGCGAGTTTAATTATAATGTTGTGTGCAAATACTTACGAAAACTGCTTCGATGTAGGTCTCTGAAGGTATGCGAACAACTCTGGGAATTTTTGCAATGACGCGTGCCGCTTCCATGCCTTTTAATTGTCCTGTCTGTATCCATTTTATGAGGGTGAGTAAAGCGGGACCAGTTCCGGCTTGTGCAACGCCATCACGAATGGTATTCCAGGCATCATTTTGTTCAGAGGTATTTTCGTCTGATTGCGAATTGTGATGTCTGTTACTTAGCACGCCATGTTCAACTTCGGCGATTTGATTCTCGTTCATTACACGCAGCAAGTTTACTAAATTTGTAAACTTCTCCAGCGTTTCTTGGCTTATTAAATTATCAAGTTGTTGAAGTTCGTTGACTATTTGACTGATCTTTTTTTGAGCTTCTTTCACTACGTTCAGCGATTCCTGGTTGTCTTGGAAAGCCAGGCTAAGAGGCGTCATCGACTTTGGAGCTTCGTGCAAACTTGGTAAAGTCTGTAAATGCTGGAATTCTTCGCTGCTGGAGGCGGCACTGGAAGAACTGTCGCTGCTACTGCTACTGCCATTGCTACTGCTACTGCTACTGCTACTGCCACTGCTACTGCTACTGCTACTGCTACTGCCTGTCTGTCCTTTTTGCCCGGTTTTTCGTTGAGTATGATTTTGTTCACTAGAACTGCTACTGCTACTGCTACTGCTCTCGGACGACTGAACTTGCTGAGAATTTCTGCTGATAGTTTGTTGATGTTGCTTGCCTTGTTCTAGTTCGGTCAGCGGATTGTTGTACGTATACAGAAGGTTTCCGGTTGATTGGAGGTTGTTATTATTTAAAGAGAATTCCTTGGTTATTTTATTCATATTCACTAAAGTCAGATTCATTTTGCTGTAGACTGTGCCGATGAAAGAATTAGCAGGTTGCTCAGATTTGACGAATATGTGATTTGTTGTCACGGAGGATTGGATAGTGAAACGCTTTAGATCACCAGAGATGACAATGCGACTGTCCGACGATTTCTGTAATAAATACATTATTATCGTTCTATCATTTTCTTTACTGTTGCGTTCTACAAGGTGCATAGAAGCGTGGAAATATTTAAATTATAATATTGTTAAAAATATTTATTTAAATTTAAAATTATATTTTAACACATTAATTGAACTGGAACTCACCGTAGTCAATCTGTCTTTAAGATCCTTATTGGATCCTTGTGTCAAGCTCATCCTGCCGCTGAGACCAAAAGAATAACCTCTTTGCTGCTTGCAGTTTTTGTAATTTTTTGTTTTCCTGACTTCGATAAGTTGATCTTCGTTATTATTGCCATTCACCAAAGGTGCTAGTTCCGGTGAGTTATAGAGATCGTCCGCGGATAACGGCGAAATATCGTAGAGAACCTCACACTTGCCACCGACGGTGTCTTCCATGGTCTTATATGAAGCATAGTTTTGTCCGTCCCTCGGCTCTTGAGTACTGTCGCCATGTATCACGTTTTCGCCTTGTGTGTCTACCTGCAGCTGGCTTACGATACCCTTCAGTAAATTCAGTTCCCAGGTGGGCACGTGCTTGTCGACCAGCAAGTCTCGGATCATGCCGTGTTTGACGATGATCTCAAAAGGCTTTCCGGACGTGGGAAGCTGTTCAAACTGCAATTGCTGGTCGGACAACTGTGCGTCGAGACCGTCCAGCATTTGTGTATGTATCCGAGCAAACTGCGGATTGATTAATGTTGCCTGCATCTTGTCGTCAGTGACCGATTGGATGGTGAGCACAGCCTTTATTATAATTCCAGTAGCCTTGTCACTTAGTTGATCTAGAGTCGACAATGTTCGACTCCGTACAAGGTACTGATACTGGTTTCCCGTTTCCCAGGCATGTTCATGTCCAGGAGTAGCAACGACTGCTGCAACTGCGAACGAACAGAATCGTCATTTTACTTACAATTAGCCGAGTTTGGCATTTGTATTTTTTTATCACAATTTCCAAATTTCTTTACATTTTGTCTTAAAAAATTTTATTTATTTTTTTCTACATTTTAGTAGATAAATATGTATATGCCATGGATCAGAATAGCAGTAATTTTATGTTATAAAATTAGAGGAAAATTTCTCTATACATTTTCAATGAAATAATTAAGATCAGAATTATGTAAAATTTTCTTAAAGTTAATCACTATTCATTAGTACACAGTAACGTATACTTACCGAGCAGTAGCAGAGTGAAGTACCACATGGTGTTATGTGGCTAATACCCAATGCGAAATGAAAGCTTCCTCTCACCGATTGAATTTATATCCAGGAGTGTGCAAACTCAGCTTGACCTATCGATGACCACAGACGTGATCCGCACGAACTTGAAACTATATCTTTCACACGCGTGACAAATTTTTCAACCTTGGATAGATTACATTTGTGACATCCGCAGCATAGTCGAGAAACTTGAAAATAAGGTCACGACATCGGATTTCCGGAGGCAGACAGAGAGAAAGGGGGAGAGAGAGAGAAAGAGAATTTTATTTCATCCGTAGATATCATTTACTTTACCAATCGTTCAATGTATATCGGTATATTTATATTGATTACATATTTTTTAATTATATGGAAATTTATCAGAATGTATCTGAAGTAACTGCGAAATAGATCCAGAAATATCATCAATTATTTAAAATTTAGTCTTTTTCGGTCTTGTGTTTATTTCAAATAAAATTTTAAATCATAGAATTACTTTGAAAAATATTAATACTTGCGAGAAAATTGTGCTAACGATTTACAACGTTTGTACAACAAAGATTGTACAAACAACTTAAAAGTAGAATGCACTCAAAACGCATTAAAATATTTGCAGTTAATTCATAATGTCATTACACAATAGAATTGCATTATATATATTGATAGATCGAAAAGTATATGCCAATCACAGGTAATTATCATTGTCGTGTTTTCTAAATTATTGAATTTCTTTATAAGGTAAACCTTTTTCGCGTATATTGTGACGTTAATATTAAATAGAGTAAATTTAGTAAGCGTATGATACTTCAAATTTCTACTGATTTTTATCCACATAATTTATTTATCTCTGACGCAGTAAGCAGCCGTTTTAAACCAGATGTGTAAGGCATTATCGATGTCCGATATACTTGTTTTTCATAGATTTTTATTTATTGATATCATATATTAAAATAAAATAATTAAAATGGTTATTGATGATGTGATACAAAAATTTCTATGATTTTACGTGTATACAATTTCTAAATTGATGCACATATAATTGATACAATTAATGCGCACTTTATTTAATACTACATCTTTCAGAATTATTATTTGTAATCCTATTGATGCAAATATTAATTAATACAAGAAAGCGGCTTCTAAATCCAGTAAAATTTGCTTGTTAGGATAATAGTTGTCTAATACATACATTCACAATATTTACTTTCGTGTATTATAAATTATATTGAATAAGTATATTGAATAAGTATATTACCTAACTATAAAAAAAATAATTTTTACCTTCACCTAAATTGAATAATTAGATAATAACTTAATTTTAAAATTTATATAAATGTTTTTTATTGAACACTATACTTACTAAAGCAAAGTATGTATATTTAGCATAAAAAATTTAAGATTTTTAATTTAACTATTTTATGTTCCACTAGAATCTTATGTAAGTCTTATCATAGTGCTTAGAAACAGTGCATTTTTTCATAATTGTTTTTGTATACCTAATACATTTGCTGTTTAATCGAATAGATAAGTTGTACATAGATACTCGACAGGTCATTGATAATATTCTGCTAATGCTGAATTTTGCTCATATCTGAAGACCATTTGCATAATGATCATAAAAAAGCTATCACGTCATCAATAACCATTTTACTTATTTTGTTTTAATTTGTGATATTAATAAATAAGAATATCTATGAAAAACAAGTACATTAGACGTCGACAATGCCTTATGCATCTGGTTTAAAACTTTTTAGGTTTAAAACTTCTTTAATCAAACACATTGTGTCTAAATACTTGTGCGATAATTGTTAGTGAAAAATATCAATCTATAATTTACTTATTATATAAACTATTGTTGATATTGTAACTTTACATTTCATCTTTTACACACGCCACTGTTTAAAATTACCAAACATAGTTAAATGAAGTATTTAACTGTTTAAAATTACCAAACATAGTCTGCCAAACATAATTTTGAATTGTTATGTGCGAATATTCAAACATAACAGAGTACGACCAAATTCTAAACCATGATTCTAAACCAAAAGTGTAAAACATAATAACCGTTTATAACTAAATATATTTGCGGATGTAATGCAAACATTTACTTTTAGCAAGAAACAAAAGATATATATAAGGTTTCTTCGCGTCGCATGACTCAACATACTCCAATATGCTCCAATCTATAGTATTACGTTACGTATGCTACAGATTGCAGCGTATTGGAGCATGCGAACAAACCTATAAATAGCAATAAAACAAATTGCATCTATTCACTAATAAAAAAATTATTTTTTATTAATTTACACGGATATAAGTATATTCCATTATTAATATGCTCTTGTTTTATATATAATTATATAATACTTATATAAAAAAAAAGAAAGAAAGCAAAGAATGCACATTTTTTCAAGCACTTGTATTATTAAAACAGATTTTTATTCGGTTGTAAAAAAGAATGATAGGAGATCAAGCTTCAACTCAAGAAAAACATTAATAATTATATTGAGAAAGTTAAATTTTATTTATCCTCATTTATTTCTGCAATTACAAGAAGAGTATATTTATAGCTTATTTTAAAATACAACATTATTAATAGAATCAATGAACTATACATATTCTGTACACATATCAGCCGCGTCAGTCAAAGTTAGTAGCCTGGCAAGCAGTAGGAACTTCGAAGGCCTGCTCCTTGCTGATAGATTTGAGAGACAAATCCGGATTAGCTCCTTGTTGGATTTGCTTCTTCATTTCTTGGGCGGCATCATTTTTCGGCATGCAGTGCATTGCAACATTCTTCTTTTTTGTTTTCGTAGGCTTGTTATTCTCGGGGCATGCTGACAAAGGTCTGACAGAAAAGCAGATCTCTTAATCACTTTCGTCGACTTTCGTGCGGTAGACAAAGCGGGCGTTTCCTTGATTCTTTTTATTTTGATTGCTGTTCTGATGATAACCCCACGTTTGTTTTTCTAACTCTCTTCCCACTTCTCTGTCGTTGATCACATTAGTCTGACGAGGAGTTGACAGAGTGCAACTGGCACGATTCGCCTTTTTTCTATTCTTTGCAATAATTTTATGAACGTCACTATCCTCGGTCTCGTTGTCAAGTAAAGCGAAAGTAGCGCTGAATTCTTCCGGTTTCTGCAGGATACAATTTTGCGGAATGAGGAAATCGTTGTTGGCTTGCTTATCATAGTTGCCGCAAAGACCGCGTACCGCATTGCGGTAACTCTTAGTTACCTAAGGACAAATTTGTTATAATTTATACACTTTTTTTACATATTGCATATGATTAAAAATTTTTATCATCGATTATTGATTTACTCACCTGAAGTCGAACACGTTTTCCATCATATAAAATATTGATTCCATGGTTCTTTGAGTTAAGCGTCAATGAATCGTCCGGTTGAATAAATAATTCGGCGACAGTTTTTCTTTTCTCTTTGTCTTGATGGCTTTTCTGTTTCGACAGCTTAACTTCTTGTCCGTTAATCAGAACTTGAAGACGATCACCTAATTGTTGCAATCGATATTCTCTTTCACCCAACAACACGCGAACCTGAAGGCGATTATTTATTTCTCGGGCCATAACATTCACTTTCATAATTTTTGAAAGAGGTGGCTGTATATCAGGATGTTTAAGAATCTGTAGGTGATCAGGGATCATCAGTACGTGCCAGATTCCGCCCATGTGCAAGGGATAGCTCTTCTGGTCAAAAGTAACAATTTCATTTTTGCTCAGAATGCATGAAGCTGCACAGAAAAATTCAAAAATGTTATACTGTGCAATTTTCTTAAATGCTGTAAGTTTATTTATATTACATATGGAGAATATACATGTGATTGTTACACTGTACTTTCATTGACAATGAATTATAATACAGTAAATTGATAAAATTAATAATGATGCAATAAATAATTTTTTTAATTATAATGACAGTAGATAGCGACAAAATCAGCGCAATTTCTATCTCATTATTTTATTTTTAAATTTATACAGATGTGCTATTAATATGTGAAACGAAAATCATTATTAAAATTTAAATATTTACTATTAAAATGTAAACAATAGCTTATTTTTCGACAATCATTATATCTTTTCGTAAATTTTTCTCGATTTTCTAATTTTTCAAAGAATATTTTTTAGTTGGAAAATTAAATCATTGCTATTATCAAAAATACAAAATCTCTAGAATTTTGATTTACTCTTATATTAAACAATTTTTTTTACATCTATAACTTACCTTCTTTTTCCTCATTCTCGAAGCCCTCATTTTCATTTTGTTGCCACAATTTATCTTCAGAGGAATCATGCAGTTGGAATTTAAGATTTATTTGCGAAGTTTCTAAAGTGGTCTGTGCATTTTCGAAACTGGGTGACATTTTCACTTCCACATTGATTTTGTTTTTCAAATCAGAATTCCTCGAGTTTGCTAACTCTATGTTTGCGTTAGGTATTATCTCACTGAAATAGCCTAAAATCATATTAGCGATTTCGTTGTGATCGTCAGAATCCATGTTTATCGACATCTGCAAAAGATTTTTCTTTAATGCCAAATCAATGGCCTTCTGGCACGCTTGCAGCCTTCTGCCAAGCTGCATCTCATTCACACATTGTTGAACTGTCTTGGATTTCATCATCGTTTTCGTCAGTCTGTCACTTCGCAATAGCCTTCCCTTTAATTGAATTTTGTTTGCTTTCTTATGATTCTTTCTAACGTGCATATTCATTGTAAAGTCGTCTTGCGGCAACTGATGAGCCGCTTTGTCGTAATTCAGAAAATCGTTTTGCGTAGATTGCACCATTCCTGTGATCTGTGTTTCATGTATGACTTCTCCAGTTTCAGATTGACTATTCCAAAAAATAATGAATTGAGATCTTCGTTCTACATTACTGTGTCCTACGCTGATAGTTAAGACTTGGCGACTGTCTAGCCACGGAATTTCGGCAGATACGTCATACACGTAGGCTTTGACAGACTTCATACCTTTGCTAACTTCCTTCAAGAGATGCCTTCTTCTTATTACGCTATTCGATAAATTATCATATAATTCGGTATGGGAGTCTTGTATTTCCCATGATGGCCGTGATCCGTTTTTATGTTTCTCGTTATTATCGCCTTGGGTTTCTGATTCATCGTAAGCGACGGTCACAATTGTTTCATCTTTTCCGTGGATGCCTAAGTGATTCAAGCTAAATACTTCGATATTTCTGTAGTGTAAGATAGAATTGTCAAAGAATGAAAACCACCGCTTAAATATACTTTTTAAATTTGGCTCTACCTGTATGTTATCGCTTTCCGAAATAATATTTATATCGCCTACGCGAACTAAAGATTTTTTCTGTTCCTTTGAATTCCGCACTGGTATCATGCCATTGCGGATGGCAGGTTGAAGTTCGATCATCCTTAATTGTGCAGTGAAGGGAACAACATTGTGATGCGCTAGTCTAAGTGGTGAACTTTGTACTTTTGGGTCTACATGCATTTTCAGCTCATAAATTTGAGAAGGTTTTTCAGATTCCACGTTTATGTTATATTCTATTGGTATATGCACAAGCGAATTTCTATCAACACCAGCGATACAATGCTGATGCACGTGAGATACTACAACACCAAATCTGGTCTGCACCTTATTGGCGACTAGTACATTGATAATCCCGTTTGTTGATTTGTTGTTAGGTTTATCGCCTTGCTCGTTTCTTTTGTTCATATGAATTCTTGTCAACATTGGCATTTCGATGTTGTAAGTGAACGGCAAGCCGCTTTCAGTCGGAAAACTTATTGACTCCTCATAGCTGTCCATACGATTAATATGCACGCGTTGGTCTTTCTCCAAATTTTTTTTTATATCTGTAACATAATATGAATAATAAATTACATCTTTGAAAATAATGCATCTTGAAGTGAAATATAAAATATTTACACAATGCAAATTTCTCAATGCTTTGTTGATCGAAAGGATAAAAATCAGTTCCGAAAATTGTGGAAATCCTGACGTTTCCTTCCAGTTGTTCCGCTATTTTGGCTTGCATACCAAGTGATTGACGAATATTGTTAAGCCACGCACCTTCTTGATGTGCTTCTGGCTTTTCGAATATATCGATAAGACGCTTAACGGACGATACTCCGTATTCCGCTTCAATTATGGATTTTGCTATGTTACCGAAAGCGTTTTGCATATTTATATACACATTCTTCGGCACACTATAGTCGTCACTGCCGGTGGTTTGCACAATGGTGGTCTTTGTAAAGATGTCTCGAGAGTTTGTTTTAGAGAATTTCTTTGGTGTTAGAAATCTTCTAACGTAATGCGCTTTTAGAGATACACTATCAAACTCTGGTCGGTCCACTTTAGATAGACTTATGATGCTGCTTTTGACTGCAGCATTTACTTCGTTACTCTTATCGAAATTGGTGTACTTTGCCATACGTAGCATCGAGACTAAAGGCGGATTTGTTAACATGTAAAGATGAACCGCGGCGCAACGCACCTCATGAGACTCTTCATCGTTCAAGTAGATTTTGTAGAGCACTGGTGCAACGACTGCCGGTGAGCGTCTGACTAAACTGCGCAGTGACGAAACCATCAACGTACGTAGATACGTCGACACATTCTGTCGGCCTTCCAAAAATGGCTCAAAGACTCCCAAGACCTTCGAATGACCGAAATTACCCAAAGCTACAATATATGCCTGCGCTAGCGCATTATCACCATTTTGGATGCATTTTTCTAATTGTTTTTCCATAAAAGGTATATAATTTTCAGTTACGTCTTTATCACTCTCGGGATTTAGTTTACCGAAATTGTATACCGGATATGCATTTTGGGAATGCCTCTTGTCGACTTGGACGTTGCGGACTAATTCCGAAAATGCAATGGGTGCGATTTTGTTCACAAATTCCTGTTGCTGCACTTTCTGATCGGCAACTAAATTATTCTGCACAAAGATAAAATTATGTTTAGCGTAGAAGGACAATTTATAATGCCGGTTCAAATATTTTTGAAATAAGTAAAAATTAAACCTGCGAGTTTAATTATAATGTTGCATGCAAATACTCACGAAAACTGCTTTGATGTAGTTCTCTGAAGGTATACGAACAACTTTAGGAATTTTTGATATCACACGCGCCGCTTCTATGCCGTCCAATTTTCCTTTTTGTATCCATTTTATGATAGTGAGTAAAGCGGGTCCAGTTCCGGCTTGCGCAACGCCATCACGAAGTATACTCCAGACATCATTTTCCACAAAGGTATTTTCGCTTGATTGCAAATTGTGAGGTACGTTACTTAGCACGCCCTGTTCAACTTCAGCGATTTGAGTATCATTCATATCACGCAGCAAGTTTACAAAATTTATGAACATCTCCAACGTATCTAGATTTTCCATAGTATTGGATTGCTGGAGTTTGTCGACTATTTCACGGGGCTGTTTTTGAGCTTCTTCCACGAAGTTCAGCGATTCCTGGTTGTCTTGAAAAGCAAGGCTAAGAGGCGTCGTCGACTTCGGAGCCTCATTTAAACTTATTAAAAGTTGTAAGTTTGAATTGCTTCTGTTGCTACCGTCACTTTGTTTTCGCCAGCTTCTGCCTTGAGATTGATTTTGTTCACTAGAACTGCTACTGCGCTCGGACGACTGAATATGCTGAGAATTTCTGCTGACGGTTTCTTGTTGCTTGCCTTGTTCTATTTCAGTTAGCGGATTGTTGTATGTATATAAAAGGTTTCCGGTTGATAGGAGGTTACTATTTATTGACAATTTTTTGGATATTTTATTCATATTTTCTAAAGTCAGATTTATTTTGCTGTAGACAGTGCCGATGAAAGAATTAATAGAGTTCTCAGATTTGACGAATATGTTATTCGTCGTCACGGAGGATTGGATAGTGAAACGCTTAAGATCACCAGAGATAACGATGCGACTGTCCGACGATTTCTGTAATAAATATATTATTATCGTTCTATCATTTTCTTTATTGTTGCGTTCTACAACGTGCATAGAAGCGTGTAAATATTTAAATTACAATATTGTGAAAAATATTTATTTAAATTTAAAATTATGTTTTAGCACATTAATTGAAATTGAACTCACTGTTGTCAATCTGTCTTTATTGGATCTTTGTGTCAAGCTCATGCTGTCACCGAGACCAAAATAATAACTCCTTTGCTGCTTGCAATTGTTGTAATTCTTCGTTTTCCTGATATCGATAAGAAATTTATCTTTGTTATGATTGTCATTCATCAAAGGTGCTAGTTCCGGTGAGTTGTAGAGATTGTCTGCGGATAATGGCGAAATATCGTAGAGAACTTCACACTCGCCACCGACGGTGTCTTCTATGACCTTATATGAAATAAAGTATTGTCCATCCCTCGGCTGTTGAGTATTGTGATCATTCAACGCGTTTTCGCCTTGCACTACAATCTGCAGCTGACTTACGATACCCTTCAGTAAATTCAGTTCCCAAGTAGGCACGTTCTTATCTACCAACAAATCTCGGATTATACCTTGTTTTATTACGATCTCGAAAGGCTTTCCGGACAAGGGGAGCTCTTGATAGTACAGCTGTTGATCGGGTATTTGTGAGTCAAAACCTTCTGGCAATTGCATATGTATCCGAGCAAACTGCGGTGTCGTTAACATTGCCTGTAGCTTGTCCGCGGACCTCGCTTGGATGGTGAGCATAGCTTTTATTAAGTTTCCAGAAGACTGATTATTTAATTTATTGAAACTCGACAATGTTCGGCTCCGTACAAGATATTGATACTGGTTTCCTGTTTTCCAAGCATATTTGTGTTCAGAAGCTGCGATTACTACGTCCAACTGAAAAACAGAATCATTATATTACTTACACTTAGCCGAATTTGACATCTGTATTTAGTTATAATTATTTCAAAATTTTTTTATGTTTTGTTTAAAAAAATTATATTGATTTTTTTCTATATTTTGATAAATATGCAGATATGCCATGAAACAGAACAGAGATAATTTTATGTTGTAAAATATATTTCTCGATACATTTTCAATGAAATAATTAAGATCAAAATTAAATAAAGTTTTCTTAAAATTTATTTTTAGTTACATAAGTGACGTGTATTTACCGAGCAATAGCAGAGTGAAATACCACATGATTTTATATAACTAATTCCAAATGCGAAATAAAAGCTTGCTCTTACTGATTGAATTTATATTCAAGAGTGTACAAACTCATGTCAGTTTTATATCGGATATCTGGAGGCAGTAAGAAGTAGGGAGAGAGAGGAATTTTATTTTATCCGTAAATATTTATGTTTTTCTTGTTTTTTTTATTTTTTACATTGCCAAGCGTTCAATATATATCACTGTATTTATATTGATTAGATAATTTTTATTAACAACATGGAAATTTATCAAAATATATCTAAACTAACTGCGAAATACATCGAGAAATATCGTCAGTAATGTAAAATTTAGTCTTTTCCGATTTTGTATTTATTATTTCAAATAAAACATTCAATCGTAAATCATAAAAGTACTTAAAAAAATATTAACATTTGCGAGAAAGTTGTGCTAACGACTGTAGAAACAACTTAAAAATAGAATGCTTTGAAAACGCATTAAAAATATCTTATAGAATAATTCTGTTTCACGTATCGTGACGTTGATATTAATAAATGGAGCAAATTTGGCAAGCATATGATACTTCCAATTTTTATTGACTTTTATTCGCATAATTTATTTGCTTAACGCAATTCTTATTAATTTTTATTACAATCTTGAGACGAACTTTAAAGATAGATGCATTTACTCATCAATAAAGTTTATTTTATTTCTCACTAATTCATATGGATATATAAATATATTCTATTTATTATAACGTGTTCTTTTTCTTCTCTTTCTTTATTTGACTATATACTAAATACAAATAATTGTTTTTATAATGCTTAATTCTTTATTCTCCTTTTCGACCTTTTACAATTATAAAAACATATTTGCAGCTTGTTTTAAAAAATGAATTACAGAATTATTAATTAATTATGCATATTCTATATATTTTTGTATTAGTCGATAGTTTGCCTTAGTTAGTAGCTTTACAAACAGTAGGAACTTGGCGGATTTGCTTCATGGAGAGAGATTTGTGGGACATATTTGGATTAGCTCCTTGCTGGATTCGGCGCTTTAATTCATGAGCAGCCTCGATTTTAGGCATGCAGTGGAAGCCAATCTCTTTCAACTTTGTTTTCATAGGCTCGCTATTCTCAGGGCATGCTGGCACAGGCTCGAGAGAGAAACAGATCTGTTGATCATCTTCCTCGACTTTCGTGCGCTTGATAATCTCTTGCAAGTTTTCTTGAGCATTTCTGTTATTTAGATTTTCAGCTTGATTTTTGTTAAGATGATGGCCCCACGTTCCCATCGTTAATCTTTCCGCTTTTTTGTTGTTGATAACGTCAGTCTGTTGATGGGTTAACTTAATGCAATTCGAGCGATTGACTTTTTCTCTATTCTGTACAGATTGATCGTTGTCAGTTAAAGAATATGTGGCGATAAATTCGTCTGATTTCTGCATCATGCAATTGGAGGGAGTTATAAAATCGTTATTGGCTTGTCTATCGTAGTTGCCGCAAAGACCGCTTATCGCAGTACGATACTTTGAAGATGCCTGAAAACAAATATGCTTTTTTAATGTTAATGCAGCTAAATGTTTATCATTAATTATTGATTTACTCACCGATATTGAAATCGTTTTTCCATTATATAGAGCACTGATTTCAAGTATATCCGACAACATCATTATATAGTCGTTTATGTGCTGCAATGTTGCAAGAGTTGTTTCCGATTCCACAAGCTTATAATTTGTACCTGGTGGGAACGAGATTATTTTACCATCATCGTCTGTCAATAATAAGTCACCATTTTGTTTTTTCAGTATAACTCCTTGTCTTCTTAATAATATGCGAAACTCAATGTTGTCATTCTGTTTTCGAGCCAAGAATCCGACTTGTATTTCTTTCCAAATTTTAGACTTTGAAAGATTAGTTCCCCGGAACTTCGGAGCCACCAAAACGATCCAAGACTTTGACAAATTTATGGAATAATAGTGACCATCAAAAGTGTAAACACCATTTTCACTGACTGAACAGGAATCTGCAGAAAAATTTAACAATATTATATTATGAAACTTTTACAAATAATTTATGTATATTTTATAATACACGTTACTATTATCATATTAGGATTTTCTGAATATCATTATTTAAAGATAATGTCGAATATCCATACCTATACTTAAACTTTGTAATTTTTGCGGTCCGGAATTTGCCATGTCATCAATTTCATTCAGTCGTGCTGATGACGATTGTGCTTCGGAAGAATCGGGCAGAGATAAAGCAAGATCCATTTTCGAAGATTTCACCAAAACCTTTGCCTTTCGATAATTGGGTGATATTTTCATTTCCAAATCAACGGTCTTCTTTCCAGCATTTTGTGGGTTTACTAAATTCATGTTTGCACTGAGCATATTCTTGCTGATATAATTGAGAGCCGTATTAGCAAGCATATTGTAATGTTCAGAATCCATATTCATCGATATTTTTAAATGATCCTTTATTTGAGCGATCTGGCGAATGGCTTCTTGACACTGCGGCAACCAGCCTTGTTTATTGCCTTGCTTCATCTCTTGCTGACATTGTCGAGTTGTTCTCAAATTCATTATTAATTCCTTCATAGCGTTGCTTTGCATAAAGTTCCCTTTAATTTGTATTTTTTCTCCTTTTCTGTAATTATCTCCAATTAACGTATCAAGCATAAATTCATCTTTTGGCGTATTTTGCATTGCTTCATCGAAGCTTAGATACATTTTTTGCGTAGATTGCATTTTTCCAGTGCTCAATGCTTCCGACTTGATTTTTCCATCTTTCAATGATTGGAGATTCCAATAGACGAGAACTCGAGATTTCAGATCCATGTTGCTCTTTCCTACGCCAATAGTCAAAATTTGACGGTCTTGCGGCAGCAATGATGGAATTTCGAAATTTATGTCATACACACGGGCCTTAACAGACTTCATATCCTTGCTAATCTCCTGCAAGATCTGTTTTCTTCTTGCCTGGCTGTTGGGGTTTCCATCAACTATCTCGATTTTGTCTATTTCCGACTCTGATTGTCGACCAACCTGATCGTCGTTCATTTCCTGTTGTTCGTAACGAACATTTAAATTTATTTCATTATTTAGTTCCATGTCATTATTCATGTATACGTCAAATCTATTATATTGCAAAGCAGGTTCATTAAACATTTTTTTTAATTGATCTGCTAGATTCATCGCTTGCCATTCGTTCGGTTCGGCAGTGATTTCTCCAGTAACATGAATCGTGCCTATTTGATATGATAATTTGCGCTCTTTCTTCGAATTATGTACATGCGTGTTTTTGGAGACTGAAGATTCAAAATCGTAATTATTATGACGTGTGCTGAAAGGAACGGTGCTCAAATGTGCCATTTTGATCGGTGAACCTTCTTGCGATTGGATCGGGCGCAGTTTTAGCTCATAATTCTGCGAGTTCTGTCCGGTTTCTGTTATTCTTTGCTCATATGCTAACGGTAGATACATTTGTAGATTGGTATCAACGCCAGCTAGATATTGCTGACGCTCAAAAGGTACTTGAAAACCAAATTTCCGCTGCATTTTATTGGCCATGACCATGTTGATCTCGCCGCTCATTTTTGTGGATTTCTCGACGACTTCATTATTTTTTGTGGCGTGAACTCTTATCAATACTGGCATCTCTTCGGTATAAGAGAACGGCAGGCCGTTTTCGGTCGGAAAGCTTAGTGTCTCGTCATAGCTGTACATATGTTTAAAATTCACGCGATGGTTTTTCTCGTTCAGCACTGCAAAACAATAACAATATTAATTTTATATTTGTGAGAGCAATACATTTTGTAAACAATTCGGGATACTTACATTTTGCAAATTCCTCAACATCTTGATTATCGAAGGGATATAATATTTTTCCATATATGGTACTAAGTAAAATATTTCCTTCTAGTTTCTCAAGTTCTTTGTCCTGGATGTTAAGCCTTTCTACAAGCTTTTCAACTTGCGATTGCATTTGATTTTTTTCTCGTTCTTTAAAGATCTCGTAAAGCTGTTTCATGCTGGAAACTGCGTATTCAGCTGTTAGGATGGATTGACTTAAACGACTGTGAGATCTGTCTTTGTTAAAAAATACATATTTCGGTATATTGCTGTCGTCGCTACCGATAGTTTTCATAATAATTTTATGCTTTAAGTAACCATGAGAGAATGTGTAATCGTAGTTAGATGACAATAATTGCCTGGCGATACGCGCTTTGCTAGCTATACGTTTGAATTTCAAACCCTTTAAATTAGCGAGACTTTCGATGCTGCTTCTGACAGCAGAGTTTACTTCATGGCTTTTGTCAGAATTAGTGTATTTTGCCATACGCAGCAGTGTAACTGTAGATGGATTGCTTAACATGTATAGATAGACCGCCGCGCAACGCACCTCATAAGCCTCCTGTTCGTTCAAATAAATCTTGTAGAGAACGTTTTTAATTAATCTCTCATTAGTTAGGCGTAATCTGTACAACGTCATAACCATCAGCATACGCTGATACGTCGACACTGGCTTCTGGCCTTCCAAGTATGGTTCAAAGACCGACAAAATTCTCGGATGGCCGAGATTACCCAAAGCTACAATGTATGTTTGTGTTAGCGGACCATTGCCGTCCTTGATAGCTTGTTTTAATTGCATTTCCATATAGGGAATATAAATGTCGAGCAGATCGTTATCATTTTGAGGCGCCATTTTGCCGAAACTATATATTGGATATACGTGTTCAGAGTTCTTCTTGTTAACTTGAGCGTTAAAGACTAAATCGGAAAATGCCATGGGTGCTATTCTGTTTAAATGTTCTTGTTGCGTCACTTTCGGGTCGGAAATCAAATCCTTTACACAAAACAAATCAGATAAACGTTAAAATAAAATATACGTTTTACATACAAAAATACAATTTATAATTATTAATATCAAGCGTTTGAATAAAATACAAAAATAGACATTGCTTTCCACTTTTGTTTATATTGTACGTGAATAAATACTTACGAAAAATGCTTTGACGTATTCTGGCGTAGGTGTACGAGCAGCGATAGGTATTTGTAAAATTGCTTGAATCATTTGTGCGGTGTTAAGATTCTCATTCTTCAGCCAGTTTGCGATGGTGAGGAGAGCGGGTCCAGTTCCGGCTTGCGCAACAGCGTCATAATAGACATTCCAAAGATCGTTTTGCTTACTATTCATATGACGGTTGTTTAAAGGAGAATTTTCCGATAATTGCATTCGATTCAAGCGTTCTTCGAGTTCGGCATACTGCTGGATGTTGAAAGCGCGTAACAGATTTACAAGAATCATGTATTTATCCAGCGTCTCGTAGTACGGCTGATTATTCGGTTCCTGAAGATCATCGGTTATTTGTGCGATTTTGACGTTTGCTATTTTAACCGGATTGAGCTCGTCGGACATCTGCATATTTCGATTTCCATAGCCCATGAAAGAGGGCATCATTGGATTTTGTAGAGCTATGTCTAATCTTGATTGTAAACGCTTCAATTTTTCGTTGCTAGAATTAGCAGTGCTGCTGCTGCCGCTGTTAGTTTGAGATCGATTTTCCTCGCTTGAACTTTGAGAGCGATCGTCCCCAGTCAATTGAGTATGCTCAGAATTTCGAATGAAGCTCGAACGATGTGGCTTAATTAACATACTTTGCTCAATGTCAGAAATTGAGCTGTGATATGTGTACATTAAACTTCCGGTTGATTTGAGTTTGCTGAGATTTATAGAAATTTCGTCAAAATCTCTATCTACATCCGTTAAACTTAGGAGAGTTTGGCTGTGAACAGTACCGAGGTCGTTGTTCTGACTTAATTTAACGTGTATGTTATTCTGCATCACGGACGAATAGATAGTGAAATGCTTCAAATTGCCGAAGATGAGAATATTGCTAGTAGATAATTTCTACAATAATCACACAATTATAATCTTATTAATTTTTTATTATTATTATTTGTATTAATTGCATAAAAATGTAGCAAAATTTTTAGTAAAACAATTACAAATCTTTGTTTAAATATCATGTAATCACGCAACACATTATCAAAATATAGCTCAATTAATAAAATTTTAACTTACCATTACAAATTTGTTGTTGTCGTCGTGTGTTGGCTTTAAACTCGCTTTACCACTAAAACCATGGTGATAACCCCTTTGCTGCTCACATTTGTTGTAATTTTTTATTTTCTCGATTGCAATTAATTGATCTTCATTGTTGGAATCCAACATGGGTGGCCTTTCCAGTGTATTTTTTTCGAGTAACTTGATATCGTAGAGAACCTCGCACCTGCCACCAACGGAATCTTCTATGACCTTATGTGTGATGGAAGGTTCCTCTTTGCTAAGTATTTCAGTTTTCCTGTCCATTTTTGCATTTTTATCCCGTATATCAATCTGCAGCTGAGTCACGATACTCTTCAGCAAATTCACTTCCCAAGTAGGCACATCATGTTCGACCAATAATTCTCGAATTACTCCGCGCTTGAGCTTTATCTGGAAGGGCTTTCCGGATAGAGGAAGATTATGATATTGCAGTAAATCGTTGGGAATATTGGTATCCCAGCCTAATTCTGATAATTCTGTATTCACGTGTGCATACTGAGGTTTGATTAGCATTGCTTGTAACGTATCTGGAGAGCTCGGTTGAACAATAAAGGCACTTTTCAACTGTATTCCCGAAACATTTTTATTATTATTCAAGTTTACTAAAGTCCGACTCTGTATTAAATATCGATATTGAGTCCCCGTTTGCCAAGCATGTCTGAGATCAGTTTGGTCGGCGATGACCGCTCCAACTGTCGAAAAATAAAATTGTTATATTACGCAACTAAGGTTGACATATCTATTTGGTTATTAAATTATGCCAAAAATATTTTACGTCGTCTTAAAAGAATTTATTTTATATTTTATAGAAATATATTTTAATATGTGTGTATACAAATCACGAATAAGAGCAATAATACGTTTATGCTAATTACATAAAATTGTTTAGTCTTAATTGAAAAAAGAGTAACGTTGTTTGAAATTTTTGTGAAATATATTATTATTTATAAAGTCACTTACGGAGCAGGAGTAAGCCGAGTTGAAACCGCATAGTAGTATGTGACCGACACCAAATGCAAAATGGTAGTTAGATTTCGCTGGTTAAATTTATATCCAATAATGTAGCATCTCAAGATGACCCGTCAAGATGTTTGTATGAACTTGAAACTATGTTGTATTTATAAATGCGCATTAAACTTTTTCAATTGATAGGTCACGCGATAGATAAGTTCTGACATTTATTAAAAATTGAAAATAAATGCAAGATTATGATCGGATTTCCGGAGAAAATTTTTATATCCATATTAATTAATAAAAGTTATTATGTCAAAATAAATCAAACTGCATCCGGCATTAGGAATTAATTGAGAAATACTTGTGAGTGATATAAAATTTTAGAATTTATATAAAATATAATTAATGTTATTTTTAAACTTTTTTATTTCTTATTTTTACATTCTTAGTTGAATAACTTATTATTATTTCTATTTATATAGCTCATAATTGTGTTTTAGAAACTAAAAAGTAATTGCTATTACAAATTATATATGTATAATGTATTATATATAATTTTTAATTTAAATTTTCTTACGTTCCGTCAAAATTTTGTATAACTTTTATTTCAATGTTTAGTAGAAACGGCATCTTTTCATATTTATTTTAATATATTGTTTGATATTTAGACAGAAATGTTGTGCATGCATTCTAAAACTTCTCGGATCAAATGCATCGCGTTCACAAATTTATGCATAATAATTGTTAGTAAATTATTTTAAACTACTATTTTGCTTATTAAGTTTCTTATTACATAGTTTGTTGTTAACATTTTAATTTTACATTCAATCATTCACGCATATCAAATGCTTAGAAATGTTAAACTGTCAAACAGTCTTGAATTATGATCTTCAAATGTAGATGCAAACGACCTGAAAAGTCCAAAATTAAAAGTATAAGACACACAAACACATTATTGGTGCCTAGTGTAACTAAATGCTTATATTTGAGGACATAACTCGCTTACGTCTAATGAAAAACAAAAGTTAAAAACAGTAACAAAATAATCTGTTAATTCACTCGCTCTTGCAATGTAGTTGGATAAATAGATGTAACTTGTTATATAAGATATTATCTTATTTCTTTAATTTTTATTGCAATCTTTAAAAGAACTTTAAGCGCAAGTATGCATTTACTCATCAATAAAATTCACTCTTATTTTTCACTAATTCTTATTTTTCACTAATTCATATGGATATACATATACAATGTGTCCCATGGAAAGTTACTGAAATCAATAAGCTGTCATTTTTAAACACATATAGGGAGCAAGAAAAACAATGTACCTTCTAACAGAGGACATTTTGCAGTTTTATTTAATAATCTAAGGACGATTAGAAATATTTTTATCAAAATACCAAATTTCGCTAATTTTAATGATATATATTTTAAGTGCGCATCAAAATTATAATTAAAATTAAGTCTTTTTGGAAACTATAAAAATCTTCATGGAACAAAAGTTACAGTTACAATTTCTGAAAGTTACAGTTACAATTTCTCCCTCTAGTTTATTTGACTGTATGCTGTCTGTATAAGGAAAGAAAGACACAAATAATCATATTTTTATAATGCTCAATTCTTTATTCTTGTTTTCGATTTTTTGTAATTATTACAAATACATATTTGCAGTTTGCTTTAAGAAAATAAATTTGTAAAACTATCGATTAACCATGTGCATTCCATATATCCGCAACGAGTTTGCCTTAGTTAGTAGCTCTACAAACAGTAGGAACTTGACGGTTTTGCTTCATGGAGAGAGATCTGTGGGACATATTAGGATTAGCTCCTTGCTGGATTCGGCGCTTTAATTCAAGAGCAGCCTCGAGTTTAGGCATGCAGTGGAAGCCAATCTCTTTCAACTCTGTTTTCACAGGCTCGCTATTCTCGGGGCATGCTGGCACAGGCTCGAGAGAGAAACAGATCTGTTGATCATCTTCCTCGATTTTCGTGCGGTTGACAACCTTTTGCAAGTTTTTTTGAGCATTTTTATCATTTAGATTTTCAGCTAGATTTTGATGGTAACCCCACATTGGTTTACTGGTCAATCTTCCCGCTTCTCTGTCGCTAATAACGTCAGTCAAAATATAATGCTCCTTCGAGCAGTTAGAATTTTTGGTTGTCCATTTCTTGTGTAAAATATCTTCAACAGAATCCATATTGTTAGTTAAAGTGTACGCGGCGACGAATTTTCTTGCATCTTCCGCGATACAGTTGTCAGGAGTGAGGAAATCGTTCTTGAGTTCTCTATCGTAGTTGCCACAAAGGCCGCGTACCTTATTGCGATATTTATTAGATAGCTGAAAACAAATTTGAGTCATGCTTTTTTAATGTTACTGTAATTAGATGTTTACCATTAATTGTCGATTCACTTACCTCAATATCAACATAATATTCACTAAATGACAAAAAGAGTCCATATGTAGGCGCGTTCACCCATATTATATTTTGTGATGTATCCACTATTTCGGCGATGAGTTCGGACTCTTCGGACTGAAGCATGTACGTGGTATGTGGCGGGAACATGATTTCTTGCCTTTCTACAATAGACACTGCGAAGGTACCATTTAATTTTTGCAATGTAATTTCGTGATTGCCCAATATCAGGAACATCTTAATTTTCTCGTCCTTCGTTCTTTTCACCGCTGCAGCCAGTTTCATCTTTTCCGGAAGTTCAGTTTCCGATACAGGGAGCACCATAACTTTCCAGTTTGTTTTTCCCAAATTCATGTCATAATACTTCCCGTCAAAAGTGGAAGCTCGGCTTCTTTCGATTATGCAGTGCAGAGCTGCGGCATAGAAAAATTCAATAATGTTACATTATAAAACGTTTGCAGATAACTTATGTATATTTAATAATACAAGTATATTATCATTATATGAACGTGTTTTTTAAATATTAATATTTAAAAGTAATTTCTCCATTATGCCTACTTTTTACAAAATTTTGTAACTTACGCGATTTTCCTGCATTACTTTCACTCCTTTTTTGCAGAGAGAATTGTCCTCCGGAAGAAGCGGATGTACCGAAAACGACATTTCTTTTCGGAGTGTTTATTAAGATCTTTGCTTCTCTGTAATCGGGTGAAATTTTCATTTCTAAATCGACGTTGCTTTCAATATTTTTTGGGTTTGATAATTTCACATTTTTTCTGGGCATAATGTCACTGAGATACTCGAGAGCTATATCAGTATACATCTTGTAACGTTCAGAATTCGTATTCATCGATAATTTCAAGTTATCTTTCATCTGAGCGTTCTGAATGGCTTGCCGGCATTGCAATAATTTGTTGTTGCCTTGCTTCATCTGTTGCTGACATAGCCGAGTTATTTTCGAATTCATTATCATTTCCCTCAGAGAGTTACTTTGCGTAAAGTTTCCTTCAATTTGGATTTTATCTGTTACTTTGTTTCTATCTCCAATTAACATGTCGATCATAAATTCATTTATTGGCGTTTGCTCCATTGCTTCATTGAAGTTTCGATAAACTCTTAGGTCTGACGAGGAATGTAACTCTGCAGTGACCAATGCTTCCGATTGAATCTCTTCATCCTTCTGCGATTGATGATTCCAATAGAAAAGAACTCGAGACTTCGAGTCTACATTGCTTTTTCCTAGGCCAATAGTTAAAACTTGACGATCTCGTGGCAGTAATGATGGAATTTCGAGACTTACGTCATACACATGGGCGTTAGCAGATTTGATATCTTTGCTGACTTCCTGCAAGATTTGATTTTGTCTTTCCCAGCTGTGAGGCTTTTTATCTGTTATATCCTCTAGTGATATTTTCGATTTTAAATGCGAAATTAAAGGCAATTGACTTTTATCGACATGATGACCAATGAGCATGTTCTGTCCTTTGTAATCGACTTTTAAAGATAACTCATTTTTTGTCTCTTTCTTATTATCTATATATACGTCGAACTGGCTGTAAGGCAACAAATCGGGCTTATCAAACATGGTTTTAATTAGACTTGCTAGATTCAATTTTTCCAACGTTTCTTTGGCATTTGTTTCTGCAGTGACGTAGATCGTGCCTACTCGATATGACAGACTGCCTTGAGTCGGCGAATTAATTATATTCGTGACGTTAATGGAAGAAACAGGTTGAAAATCAAAATCGGCGCGTCGTGTGTTGAAAGAAACGGTGCTGTAATGCAAAAGTCTGATCTGTGCATTCTGCGACTGTGAAACCGGTCGCAATTTCAGCTCATAACTATATACGTTCTCTTCGGTTAGCTTTCCTTTATTCTCGTATTCTACTGGTAAATGCACCTGCCATTTGGTATCAACACCAGTTTGATATTGCTGACGCTCGAAGGCTAGTAAGAAACCAAGTCTATGCTGTATCTTGCCGCTCACCACCGCATTGAGCTTGCCGTATACTTTTACGCCTATGTTTTCAGCTTCTATGTCAGTGTTTTTCGTGACATGCATTTTGGCCAGTGTCGGTAGCTCTTCAGTGTAAGTGAGCTGCAGGCCGCTTTCAGTTACGGAGCTTGTTATCCTGTCACGGATATACAGCTGATGAAAATTCACATTTGGATTTCCCGAAATTAACCCTGTAAAAAAAATATTAATTTTATATCTGTGAAAACAATGCATCTCGTAAAATTTAAGATACTTACACCGTAGGAGAGTCATGACATCTTGCTTATCGAAGGGATAAAATACCTTTCCATATAAGGCAGAAAAAAAAACGTTTCCTTTCAACTTCTTCGATTCTTCGAGTTTGATGTTAAACATTTCTACGAGCTTTTCAACTGGCGAATTTTTGCGTTCTTGGCGTTCTTGTTTTTGGAAAAGGTTCATAAGGTTGTCGACATTCGAAAGTGCGTATTCCGCTAATATGACAGGTTGTTGGGGATCATAAAAGTTGTTTGCATCAAAGATTGCCATTTGAGGCATATCGCTGTCCTTGCTACCGATAGTTGCTACAATAGATTTCTCTGTAAAGTGGATTTGAGAGTACGTAAGATCGTAGTTTTTAGGCGTCAGTAATTTCCTGGCGATTCGCGCATTTTCGATTAGTAGATGCAAATCTGGTCGATTCACTTTAGATAAACTTATGATGCCGCTCTTGACGGCAGAGTTTACTTGTTCACTCTTGTCGTAATTGGTGAATTTTGCCATACGTGTCAGTGCAGTCAGAGATGGGTTGCTTAAAAAGTATAGATAGACCGCCATGGAACGCACCTCGTAAGCCTCCTTCTCGTTCAGATAAATCTTGTAAAGAACGTTTTTCAGTTCTTCTGGATTTATTACGACTAATTTGTACAACCATCTGACCATCAGCAAACGTTCATACCTTGTCACTGGTTTTCGGCCTTCCAAATATGGCTCAAAGACCGACAAGATCTTTGGATGACCGATACAACCCAAAGCTGTAATGTACGTTTGTACTAGCGGACTATTATCAGTCTTGACAGCTCGATCTAATTCTTGTTCCATATAAGGAATATAAATTTCAGTTGTATCTTGTCCCAAATTCTTTATTTTGCTGGATTTTGAGAGATAAAGTTGGCCGTTAAAGATTAATTCGCCAAATGCCACAGGTGCGACTCGGTCTACATAATTTCCATTTTTTATTGTCGGATGGATAATTAAGTCCTGTACACAAAACAAATCAGACAAACGTTAAGATAAAATTCACATCTTACATACAAAAACACAATTCATAATTGCTGATATAAAGCGTTTGAAGAAAATTCAATAAATTGAAGATTATTTTCCACTTTTATTTATGTTGCACGTGAACGAATACTTACGAAATATGTTTTGACGTATTCTGGTGTAGGTGCGCGAGCAGCGTTGGGTATTTGTGTAAGTACTTGAATCATTTGTGGGATATTAAGATCATTCTCATTCTTCAGCCAGTTTGCGATGGCGAGGAGAGCGGGTCCAGTTCCACTTTGCGCAACGGCGTCATAAAGGATATCCCAAACAATGCTCTGCCTATCGCTTAATGGATGTTTGTCTAAATCAGGATTGTTTAACCGCTGAAATTGTGAGCCTATGTCCAAGCGTTGTTTTAGTTCGTCGTATTGACCGACGTTTAAAATTCGTAGCAGGTTTACAAGAATTGTGTACTTCTCCAGCGTCTCCTCGAACAGTAGATTATCAGTTTGCTCCATTTCGTCGACTATTTCTAAGATCTTCTGACGGGCTGCTTCTACCGGATTTAACTGATCGGATAAATTAATGTTTTGATTTTTGTAATTGTTGAAAAAGGGCATCACTAAACTGTCTGGAACTTCATTTAATTTTGGGAGAGATTGCTCGATTCTTTGGTTCCTATTGTCGGCGCTATTTTGGTCGTTATTGTTTTGAGATTGATTTTCTTCGCTTGAACTTTGAGAGTCATGGTTTTGGGACAAAAATGGACCGCCGTCCGTGTACACTAAATTTCCGGCTGTTCTGAGTTTGTTGGGATTAATATGAATGGTGTTATGGTGTTCATCTAGTTCGATTAAAGTTAGGATCACTTGGCTGTGGATGGTGCCGATATTTTCATTCTTAGTCGATTTAATGTATATGTTATTTCTCATCACCGAGGAATAGATAGTGAAGCGCTTCAAATTACCGTAAAGAACGATGCGACTGGCGGATAATTTCTGAAAAAAACATATAATTGCAATTTTAGTTTCTCTTGTTATTGCTTGAATTAAGAAATGTTGCAGTATTTAAAGTAAGACGACCACCAAGCTCTGTTTAAATATTCTTCCATTAAACAACGCATTATTAAATAAAATTACAACAGCTTATTAATTAAATTTTAACTTACCGTAGTAACTTTATTGTTGTCTTCATCCTTTAGCTTCAACTTTATTTTATTGTCGAAACCATAAGAATAATCTTTTTGTTGCTTACAATTGTTGTAATTTTTTAGTTTTTTTACTTCAATAAATTGTCGCGTATCGTCGGAATTTAACATGGGATCAAGTTCCATCGCAGTCTGTTGATTTTCAGCTAACTTAACATCGTAGAGAACCTCGCACTTGCCACCGACCGAGGCTTCCATGACTCTATATGTACCGAGGGACAGCTCGTCGTTGGGCAACAGAGTTTCTCTATCCATTAACACATTTTTTTTCTGCAAGTTAACCTGCAGTTGACTGACGACACTCTTTAGGAAATTCACTTCCCAAGTAGGCACGTTTTGTGCAAACAACAATTCCTGGATCACTCCCTCGTCGAGCTTTATTTGAAAGGGCAATCCGCTTAGAGGCAACTCACGATATTGCAGCATCTCATCAGGGATTATGGTTTCCCAGCCTTCTGATAATTCTGTATTCACGTGTGCATACTGCGGTTTGGTTATCAATGCTGTTAGAGTATCTGGAGAACTCGTTTGAACAGTTAAGACACCTTTGAACTGTATTCCCGTAACATTTTTGTTGTCCAAGCTTATTAAAGTGCGACTCTGTACGAGATATTGATATTGAGTCCTCGTATTCCAAGCCTGTCTATGGTCACGCTGATCAGCGAGAACCGCTCCAACTGTCGAAGAGCAAAATCGTCATACACAGCCAATGTTAGCATTTTGTTATTTTCTTATTAAATTATTTTAGTTTCTATACTTTGTCTTTAAAAATTTTATTTAATGTTTTATATTAATACATTATTTTAGTACGTATATGTAGGCTACGAGTAAGTACAATAATAAGCCTATAGGAATTTATGCGTTTAATTATTGGAAATTTTAATAAAATTATTAGACATCTTAATGAAAATATAAAGATTAATATTTTGTGAATTTTACATGTAACTCATTATTTGTAAAGTTAATTTCTACTTACAAAGCAGGAGTAAGCTAAGTTGGAACCACATCGTGTTATGTGGCTAATATCAAATGCAGAGGAGAAACTCACTCAATTTTATTTATTAGGTTTATATACATTCAACATGTCATCTTAACTTGACCCACGGATGGTCTGCGGTAAATTTGTACAAACGCTCTTACACGAGCACGTATTAAATTTTTCTTAATAGATAAACTGCGCAATAGGTTATATTTCGTAGCATAAGAAAGTAAAGAATTTAAAAAGATTGTGGCCTGATTTCCGGAGAGAACTTTGATATATTCAAAATAGATATGCTTTATTTTGTTAGTCGATCACACATATTTATGTATATTAATATATATATATATTATACATATATATGTATAAATCTCTTTTAGTTTTTATATTGAGATTTATCAAAACATTTATCGGACGTTAAAAGTTAATTGAGAAATATTATTGTTATTGAAATAATTTGTTAAATTGTATATAAGGTATAAATTTTTTAAATATTTTCTAAAAGCTAAAAAAGTAAATAATATTGCAAATTATATTTAGTACAAAAATTTTATAAAAACTCTATTTGTTTTTTCGGTATGTTGTATGATTTTAATTTTTATAATTCTTTGATTTTTCGTAGTTGTCTTACATTTAGTAGAATACAACTGAGAAATTCCTATCTGTAATTATTGTATAGTCGAGTAGATAGAAATACAGATGCGCGGTAGATCATTGATAACTTTCTGCAAATGTTTCATGTATGCATTTAGAGACAGAGTTCGTAGATGATAATATGTTATTAACTTGTATTTTATCAGTAAAGAGAAATGTTTTATAAAAAGCAAGCAGCAGGAGATATTTACGGATGCAAACTCATTAACTTCCTTCAGCGGAAAAGTTAAAAATATCAATTTTATTTAATTATGAGATATCAGTCAGCTACTAAAAATATTTTCTAGCGATGACTACGTCATCAAAAAATTCACAAGTCAATAAGATTGCTGTTAAAGTATTTTTGTAATTATTTTATCTTTCTCAGATTGTGATATTTATTATTTACAAGATGACATGTTCAAACCTTTCTTTTCGAAAAACCTTTCTTTTAAAAAATGATAAACATATACGTTTCATATTATTTCGTATAGATCAAATAATATAATTTAATTATTTGTGTGTACAGTAATTTAGTATAAATATTTTAATTTACGTATTTTCCCTATTTTCTTTATATGAAATGACTTCTAGTTGTTGATTCTGAGATACTCGTACACAATTTCTAAATATTATCGATAATTAATTTACTAATCTAATTTTGAGATTAGAATTTTTCAGAGCTTTGTTTTCAAATATTTTGAAAAACTTATATTTCAAGACGTTGTCTTTTACAACTATATTTTGTCAAAATATTGCTTTATTTTTCAATTTATATGTGCACATTAATTCAACTAAATTTTACTGTATCGGGAAAGGATAATATTAATAAACAATTTTGTTTACGTAAAAATGTATATTGATTTAAATATATTTTATATAATATCTTAATAATAATATCATCTTATCTTCTTAAACTAATCCTAAATTTTTATGTACACTTATTTTCAATGAGGCTGCACAAGAATATGTCGTAATATGTATAGCAATATGCATAACATGTATCTTAAAAATAATAATACTTTTAATATAAAATTGCTGCATTTTCTTAGATATTTTCGAAATAGATTATTAATTAGCGCGAACGAGTAGTGAATTTCCACCGTTTACCGCGGTACTTCTATCGACTTCTATAGACGAGATCGTTGCCTTGATGATAGTTGTGGTGGTTTCCGGTTCCTGAAACAATGATTAAATAATTATAAATAAATTGTCTTTAATTTGCATGTTTAACACAGATCTTCCAAAATTAATTTTTTTCTATAAAATCTTTTATAACAAGAATTATTATTTTATTCATAATATTATTTTAATAAACATAACAATAATTAACATGCTTAATTAAATATAAAATTACCTTATCGAAATCAATGTCAACTTCCTCGAGAACTTCATCGAGAACAGATACAAAATGATTGACATTCTCGATGTTGAAAACCATCGGCGGCTTCAATTTCAGCACGTTGTTATCAGGTCCATCGCTACTGATAAGAATCTTTTTCTCCTTCATCCTGGACACAATATGCTTTGCTTCCGCCGTCGCTGGTATCCTCTTGATTCTGTCGCGTACTAATTCGATGCCCACAAATAGTCCAGCACCGCGCACGTCACCGATGATCCTCCGTCGTTTCGCCAGTTTCTCCAATTCCGCGATCAGATGATTGCCGACTTTTAGGGCGTTTTCCTGCAGGTTTTCACGTTCTATCACCTTCATCACCGCGTTTGCCACTGCACAGGACACGGGGTTGCCTCCATACTACATTAATAAAATATTGTTTGTTGTTTGAGAACATTTTTTAACAGGTTTCGACACTAACGATTTCTTATAAACTAACCGTGTTGAAATATTCGATTCCAGTGTCGCAGAAACTGCGTGCGATTTCCGGCGTTGTAACGACCGCAGCAACGGGATGCCCGTTGCCCATGGGCTTGCCCATGGTGACTATGTCTGGAATAACGTCCTCACCGTACAATTGGAACGCCCACATGTGAGTGCCGACTCTTCCGAAACCGACCTGGACCTCATCCGCAATGCAGACTCCTCCGGCTTCACGTACATATCTGTAAGTAATTTATTTTATATTTTTTTATTGGCACATATAATGAAATAATGTATAATTTAATTTAATAATTTAAGTTTAAAAACTGTGTGTGTATGAAAATAATCGCTTACTTATATGCATTGCGGAAATAATTTTGTGGCGGCAGAATCTGTCCGCCGACCGACACGAGACTTTCCGCAATGTAGGCGCAAACCCCTTGTCCTTTGGACTTGATGTCCTTGCAAATTTGTTTCACATCCTCAGCATATTTGGCACCGAGATCCTCGTCGGCGTAATCGGTGGCACGATATTTTCCGCGATACACATCTGGGCAAGGAGCCTAAAACAGTAATATATAAAATATATATATAAAATATATCGTAATTTTTTTTTTTTCGAAATTTAATATAAACAATGTAGATATCAAATATTATTTTTTAGTTCAGATTTCAAGACATTAAATAGTTCGAATTTTTCGAGAAAATATGATTCATTGTTTTCAAACCATTAAAAGTTTTTTTAAAACTGTTAAAAAGTTTCAATATACAATATATTTGAATTTTTTATCAGAGTCATAATTTAAATAAAAATTTCTTTAGAAAGAGAAGAACAAACAAATTTTATATAATAAACTCAACTGTTACGCAATAATAATTTACAAAATTTTGCAACAATAATTTACAAGATTGTTTTTGGGATACTTTACCACGTGCACCCAATCCTTTTTGCCGGTGCCGTTAGGTTTGTTGAACTTGTACGGCGAGATATCGATTATCGTTGTCAAATGCCCGTGATAAGCGCTAAAAGCAAAAAAACAAAGGTGGACAAGGATTTCTTTTTCAGCCGTTGCTTTCGTTGAAAGCTTCTTCGAAGTCCTCCAAGACTACAACGTAGCTCTCTAAGAATTATTGGCTATCATCTTTCAATAAGTATTATTTCATTTTAATATCTACAAGTAGTTCCTGAAAGTGCAATCTTTTTTTTTTTCTCTTGTCCCCGTTGTTGCCGAAGTTGGTCACGATATTCGCACGTCTCCGAAGTTGCCGGAAGCTATTCATCCGTGAGCTCGAAAAGCGTGATTATTAATTCGTGCGGATACCCCAAATCATTGATGTCGATAAAAAGACAAAGCGCAACGTTCGCGGCACAGCTATTGATAATAGAAAGACAATGCGCCGCATTCTTATCATTATCAATTTCTTCGTCCCATATAATTCGTAAGAAGCGATGAGTATGTGCCATCACTTTGATAATGACAATCTCAATAGCTCAAATAATTTTGCATATTTATGGAACTAACACGCGCGTGTGTTTGATAGAAACGCGCTGTGCGCTATTCGACTGACAATTTCGCTTTGTCTAGTTTACGACATTGTCGTTGCTTGGCATTTATCACTCTGTTTCGCTCTCGCTCTGTTTCTCTTGGATAAGCCCGGTCCAATATTTCGGCGACATCATCCTCTCGCCGATATAGCAAGGGGGAAAAATAAATATATATTATGTATTGTACGTGGCACGCACGTCGTCGTGAGACTTACACCACCTAAAACAGCGACAAGATCTTTATGGCGACGAATTCTATTTTTCTCCGCCGTGATGAAAAGAATGTTGGGTGTCCACATTGCGTTCTGTCGACGCGCTCGATATCGTTGATGCATGTACGCCGCTCGCGTTCCCATCGATTTAGCGTAGAAAGACGCTGCAAACAAGCAAAGGCAAATCGATTCCATTAGTACAGCGATCTATTTTCTCGTTTGTTCGCAGCCTGAAATAATCAACATATTCGAGTTACAGTGCAGAGCTGCTTGCGCCAAGAGGAAGGAAGTCCGATCCGAATAGAAACGAAAGTTTTCTTTTCTTAATCATCTCGGAATTTATTTATTTATTTATTATGTTACGTAGCGCATGAAACTCGTTGCAGAAAAATTTTGCAGAAAAAAGTTGCATGCAAGGGACAATCTAGACGGAGGAACTTACTGATCCAACGTAATAACATCCTTATTCCTCGTGTGCGTCTGAGCAAGACGAAGAGCAAGATCGTTAGCTTCGCTCCCGGAGTTCACCAGGAAGCAAACGGACAGCGGTTCAGGTAGAAGCGACGCCAGTCGGCTCGCACATATCACCAAATTATCGTGGAGGAAGCGATTGTTCGTGGACAATAAAGCCATCTGTTCCTGTCCGGCTCGAACGACGTCTGGATGGCAGTGACCGACTGCAAACGAGTTTAATTCGTGTCGATTAAAGATTACATTGCATCGTACATTGAAGTTCCATGCGATTATTGTCGCAAAACTAGTTAAGATTAATGAGACATAAAGATTTGGAGAATACATACCGTGCGCAACATTATTAATGCAGTCCAAGTATCGGTTGTCCTTTTCATCGTACATGTACTGTCCCTGGGCCCTCACAATTTTTAATGGATTTGACTTGTAGAATAGCTTACATGATTGCCTAAAAGTAAAAAATATTGTTGTAATTATTTATTCATTTTTTATCGTTTTATCAACAATATTTCAATTGTTTCAAAACAATTTGTCAAGAAAAATGTCTTCATAAAATTAAAAAATATATATATATTCATAGAATTTTGACAAAAAATTGGTAAGCGTATTCGCGCTTTTGATTTAAATATCACTCACCCGATATGACGATCGCGAAGCCTTATAGTATCGGATTTTGACATCTGTTCCAAAGATTCTGCCATAGTAACGCGTTTGCTTGAAACGTTCACACTGTCAGTATCTGCAAAACGTAATAAGTGCAAAATTTAAATATTCAACTTATCATATCAAGTTGGCCGCAATATTCCTACGCGCTCTGTCACTTGTGACTTTTTCAAGTCAATTGTATCTTTATCAAAATAAATAGATTAAAAATCAATTCACATATCGTCAAGTTTTTTTGTAATTAAACATAGTCCAGTGATAAGCACGTAATAAGAACCCTTATCACAATCAGCTTATGTTATTTTTCGGCTTTCTTGATATGCTGAGATTATTTTCATGCATAGTGTCTTATCAAGAATTTACCGATAAACTTCTGAAACTTAAATTTTAAGATTCCCTTTGTCTTAATTTTTAAATTTACATCAATTTTGTTAAATTATTATTATATTTATAAATATATCTTTTTATTAAATTTAAATTTATATTAATTAGAATTTTTTATATATGTGTATTTATATTTAAATAACTTTTTTAATTGCATATAATTTCTCGATATTTCGATAATTAAAAAATCCAAAATTGACCAAAAGAATTTTATTGTCAAAAAATTATACAATAATTAAAGTGGAGTGTTAACTTATACGCCTTTGCATCTAAGTGATAGGCATACAAAGAGTTATTTTCCGGTGACTGATAAGTACACGTGATTACTACATGCAAATAGTTTCCGTTCGCGCCTTCGCGCGTGACTTTGAGTCTCGCATTGCAGAATTAGCTTTGAGCAGAAGACTTTATTATATAGTAACAACAGTTTATTTTTAACAATACCGTTTGAGATTGGTAGTTTGAAATTTTAGAGGGAGGATAAATGAGTATATGTCGGAATCTTTCTATAAGGAAATAGATAATGAATTCAATATTCTTATATACATATTTCGCATCACAACAGGAAATACCTAATTAATTTAATTAAAGTATCTTGCACAAATTAATTATAAATTTCTTCAACAATATCATTCAGTAAGAATCGATTGAACTAACTAAAGAATCTATTACCTAAAAAATTTTTTAATTTAAAAATTTTCTAATTCTATTTAAAAATAAAAAGAAATAAACAAGAAAATGGAATATACATGTATATTTTTGTTTCTTTAAAAATAACAAATTAATAAAAATAAAAAAAAGTGATTTTGTCGTTTTGACAATGTTAAAAACATATATAATTTAAATATCTGCATCGACACACACAAAATAAAGGATGCCGTATACATTAAATGCTTTTTTATTCTAATTGCAATTCTATATTAATGCAGAGAGAAATAAATAATAATTAAAAAGAGCTTGAAGCTATACTCACTATTGTATCTGAACTTGTGGTTTTGTGTCACAGTTCTTGCGATCACTGCAACCGAAAGTGGAGTGTTGCGACCTGTGCTTAGTGACGTCATATATAGAGAGAGTAAGTCGGCGGGGGTAAAAAAAATACGAGGATGCGCAAGCGTGTCGGACCAGCGGCTCTCCCTCCATAATCGACACCCCGCTTATCCTACATTTTTGTGCGTCATTTCGTCGCTGATTGTTCATATCGTAACAGATTTTATTACCATGATTATACAATGATTCGATTGCCGGCGTCAATTTGGAATATATATTTTATATCTTTCAAAATTGACCCAGAATTAAAATTTGGAAAATTTTTTGTTATCTTTCTTAAATTTACATTATACTCTACGTCATAAAAATATCACACGACGAACAAGTGTAAAATAAAAGCTATATAAATGTCAGCAATATGCGTCGCTATTTTTAGTCTCATAAATAGAAGAGCGACCTTGCGACCAACTGACACGCTAAGAACAGGGTTTGGCAAAATAAATTATTGACATATTTTCATTTCACTAGTTGTCCACGATTCGGATAAGATGTTACAAAAATGATTAAATACATAACATTGCTAATAAAAGGATAATCAACGTGAGATACATTAAAATTTATGTGAGTCACTTGTTAGCTACTTCAGTGTTTAGAAAATTACATTAAAAAACTCTTCAAATTTTGAAAAAGCAATTTCTCTGATTTTCACAAAACTTCAAAGAGGTTTGAAAAATGACTTTTTCGATTTTTACAAAACGTAAAAGAAAACCGTGGTACTTAGAAGGTAATTTTGTTTCATTCACTTTCATAAAGCTTGCGCGGGACACACATAGATCATTGTGTAAATAGAAATTAACTAATACTATCAAAGCTATTGACAAATATCATGATTGAGACGAAATTGACCACGTGCGACACACACGTTTTTACGACGATAGCGAAACGCGACACGTGATACGCGCACTATCGGACACAGTTTAAATCGCAACAGTGATCTCGTGATACGCGGCCGCGATATCGCTCATGGCAAACATAACTCACGTTCACGCAATTATAAATCTTCCACTTTCCTTTGTGAGAACTCAAAATCAACAATCGTCAATTTTAAAAGATATATACTTGCAGAATCTACCGAAGTTTGCATTGTGTTATCACGCTGATAGCGCACGGATGATTTTTCTCTAATATTTTACAAAGACTTGAATCACGTCAATTAACGAATCTTATCGTAGAAAGCGCACAATCAGGCATTTGTGTGAAGTATGTGGCCATAATTTTAGTGATTAAATGTAACTCTTAACACATCACCTGATATGATTTTTATACGCAGTAAATTTTATAACATTATGCTTTTTTTTTAATTTTTGTGAAAATTATTTATCCAATATTGTTATCCAGTCTGGATAACATTATTGCACAATCTTACTTCATTGATTATTCTTATGCGTAAGGCTACTCATTCATTATCTCTCGGTAAAAATAAGTTTAATCACGCAAGACGGCGATAACATTTTGAGAAAAATAAAAACCAAAAAGAAAAGCCGAATATTTGTCGCGTAATATCGCAGACTGGCGCCGTGCCAGTTGCCGGGTAAATTTCTGCTGCCTTTATTGATGTCAAATCTTAAGCAGAATGCAAATTGTAAATTGTTTTGCAAGATTTTATTGGCCGAATGAGCGTCGATACGACGTGCTCTTATTTGTTATACTTACGTCACGGGTCATACTATATATATGTTCTTCATGAGATACTACTCTTCAACCCGGGACTTGTCTCTTTTTGTCAACGACTACATTTACACTCGTCGACCTTCTACTACTCTATTTTTAAAGACGTATCAATTGTATGAACGAAAAAGTTTCATATATATTACACACATTTGTACGTTGGATATCTAATGGTTTCTATCTTTGCGATCAATGATGACTGAAAGAGAATCAAAAATATAATAGTCGGATCTTATCTGTTGAAGAATTTTACGCAACAAATTTTATAGCGTAATAAACAACATATTATCAAAATTAATTTTTAATGAAAATTTTGAAGTTGCTAATAGTAAATAAGAAAAATTTGTTCTTCATATAATTTCAAGTGGATTTTAACAAAATCTTAATATAAATCTTAATTATTGAAGTATAATAAATTTAAATACTAAATATAATTTAATCTCAAAATCTTTTTTTTTGTTATCACAATACAAATAAATATATTTCCTAGTTTATTTAATGTGGCATGATAAAAATCTCTGTGTTGGAAGATAATTTATTTTTCGATTAGGTATTAAACTTATTCTTCATCACTTTCTGAGGATACGATAAAAGATAAGATTTTAATATCCAATTAAAGACTATTTAAAGCTTTTTAGACATATATATTCTTTTAATTATCTTTATTAATTTATTTTAAGATATTTTTTAATGCACACATCACCAGGCAAATTTTTAAATATACTTTAAAGTGCAAAAAAAAAAAATTAGCATGCCAGTGCTAATTTCCGACAGTTTTAACATTTTTCTTAATTTGCATAATTTGTAGAAGTTTAGTACAAAGTGGAATATTGCGCCCATAATATCGGGCAACTAATATTTCTCCTATAAAAACAACGAACGCTATCGAATGACCCACGAGAAGAACAACAGACGCCAAATGTACAGAATAATCGTTACGACTGATCTCACTCCCCCGCTTCCCGTTATCCCTTCCTCCTTTGTTCCTCCAGAAATCGTCGAGGTGCTTTGCTGTGAAGCCGTACTCCGTCAGCGACAGCAGCAGATGATTGATCACATTTTTGAACGGCGATTTCACGGGGAGCGTGTGCACTCGAAAATGCGACATGATGCACAGATTGGAGAGCTTGAAGAGTCGCGTACCGTTGCGGTCCACGAACGCGATTTCCCTCAGTTTGCCGTCGATCTCAGACATGAAATACGCCTTAGAGGCGTCTAACTTTAGCAGATCATTTTCAGACATGGACGTGAACCTCTTTAAGAACTCGGCGGACAGTTCCCCGGACACTTCGAGCTCTCTGTGCACTATCGGCGAGACCATCACCTTCCGTCCTGAATTGTACAGTTCCTGGAACGTGGACACGCGGCTGTCGCTCCTCAATTCTATCACGAGCTCGAACAGTTCCACCTGAAAGAGAGCCGTATAATCCGCCGCCGTTATCATCACGCCGATGAACAGGATCTTTTCCACGAGGGTTTGCGGTCTGTGCAGCGGCGAGATGCCGAGGAGCAAGCTGATGGTGTTGAGGGGGTCGCGAGCCCGCGAGCTGACCTTCAGCATCACCGAGACGCACCACACCACCGCCGCCAGCAGGATCCCGACGAAGATCGTGATGATGATCTGCGTGACGTCGATGAACATATTGTCCACCGACATCGCCGGCATCAGTAGACAGATTCTATCGTCGCCGACGGCGACGGTGTGCTCGTAGTTCATGCTGTACCAATCGGTGTACACGAGCCCTTGAGCGTTGTAGATCACGTCGCTGTCCTGCCAGAAGCGCGGCTGCACTATCGTAACGTTCAGGATGTTCGATAGCGAAGCCGCGAACAGTTCGGCTAGACCGCCGAGCTTGCCAGGCTCCAAGACCGTGCCGTTTTCGTTCTCCAGCGTTTCGTTCGCCGTAAGCTCCAGCGTGCCGTAAGGGCCCGTCTGTTCGAAGGTTATTTTCAACGTATCACCGAACATGTTTTGCGACTTGACCGAGTAGCAATCGGTGCCGTTATCGCCAATCTCGGTTAATCTCAAGTAGTCGAATCCATTGAAGCAATGTACAGCCACGAAAAGCGGCCATTCGGAATGAAGAGACACTTCTACGATAATCACGTCAAGGACTCTTAAATCCCACAAATGTTGAAGATAATCTTGCGCGTCCAACGTACGTTTCTCCGAGCCGATTATTAGCATGAGTCTCGGCACGTGCTTAGGATAAGATATTAGGCGCATGTTGTTCACTGTCGCGTTTAATTCTCTGTAATTAACATCGTTCTCCGATGCGTAAATGTATATTAACAGAGTGCGATAGGAAGCCATGTATCGCGGCTGAAAGCTAGATTTTCCGACGATAAAAATTTGTGACGGTCGCATGTTAATCACAGTCTGAGCGACAGCATCTAGTACGCGTTTCACGTCATAAACGTCTTGTTCTCGAATTCTGATAATCACGTCCTGATACACAATTGATTGTAAGACCTTTTGGATTGATTGATCGACGCAGGTTTCTTGACAAATATTAGAACGAACAACATTGATAGCAATAATAGAATAGAAAATAATTCTTACAATCTCCATCTTTTTTTAGGATGATGCGATTAAATACACACTGTCTGTTAAAATAGGAAATGTGCTTTCTAAGGTACACAAGAAACGGAAATGGTGTATCTATAAAATCAAAAGCTCTATCGATCCATTATTACTCAAATGGCACAGTTCTGTAATAATGCATAAGATGGATTACGAAAAATATCATTTCGCATTCTGATTTTATCTATAATAAGCAGGCACATTTTAGATAAAATCGTTTTCTTTTCTGATTTCTGAAAATTACACGCTTTCATAATTTATTATCATTTTCTGTCTGTTTCTGATTGATTAAGCGTTCACATATCGTTGTAATTTTCTACATTTCGTTATTCAATCATTAATCAATTTCTATATGTATTATTTAAACTTGCAAAAAAAAACAGAGATAATTCGTGATTATACAGCAAACATAGCACATTGACGCAATGACAAATCGCAAGACAAATAGCTTTACGCAACATATGACGATATTGATTACGAAATAGACATACTTATTTAGGATATTCAATATTAAATGGCAAAAAAATATTGATCAACTCTCGCAGTCGGTAGGACTCGAACCTACGCTCCCAGAGGGAATCTGATTTCTAGTCAGACGCCTTTAACCACTCGGCCACGACTGCTACGGGAATCCTTTCTCTTCTTCGAGATATCGTAGCAGGCCACATACATATTTATTAATAAATTAATTTATACTTTCCTTTTTAAATAACATACATATTTTTTATTAATATTTTGTGCGACATTGAAACGTTTAATTATCACATTGATTATCTA